TTATCTAGATTTATTCCGTCCATGCTAATATCTTCTGATGTAGTTTTGTTCCCATTTGCACATAGCAAAGTTAACGGATAAAAAAATGGATCTATCAGCCCCTTTCAAGGATCGACTAGAGTTCTGGTGGTGTCATGTCGGTTCTATACAAGTGGTGTGCAGTGCGCTTTTGCTTTTTCCCATCCTCATCGTGAGGGTCGCTAACCATAGGCAGTTGTTGTGAATTCAGAGTTGTTCATCTCCTAGACCGGTTACCAACCACGGATAGAGAGCCCAGTCTGACTGGCTATTTAAGTCATAGCTAGATGTTGGTTGGTTGTTATTGTTTAGCGGTATATCAACACCTCCATGGGTTATTTAATGTTGAGATCTAATTTTTTTGTACGCATTTTTTCGGCTCGGATTAACGAATCAGAGAGCCGAGTTTGAATTCCATTCGAATCCATTACATTCATTTACATGCTAATACCCTTGTGAAAGGTATGAATCCTCTTCTTCTCCTCCAGCTATGGGTAAATAGCAGGACAGACCGGGTTCTATAGTCTTGAATGGCAATTGGTCTATGGCAGAAAGAAATGGCAAAATACTCCGGAAAAAATCTGCTTCATCAGTCATATATCGAAATATACATGATCGCCTAAGCGTGTATCACGCATAGCACATAACTGTCTTTATTTAGTAATAGCGTTTTACTAATTAACCCATAGCTGGGGGGAAAAGAAGTGCATTCATACCTTCATCAACGTTATTTGCGTATTAGTGAATATATGGAATATATGGAATTTGAACTAGGCTCCCTGATTCTGAGCCATTATCCATTACACCACCCGCACATGCAAGCTTACAGCACCTGATATTCCCAAGCGGTCACCCATCAACCAGGCTCGACGTTGCTTAATTTTGGTGATCATATCGAAACCGGTGTTTCAACTTGATGTGTCCGTGTGTGATAGCTAAAGACAGAAGAGATTAATTTTTATGTTTCCTAAGGATATGTGAGCGTAAGTGATTATAGTCAACTGGAATTCGAATCTCGGCTCTCCGATGGCACAATCGAAGCCGCTATCTTCCCTACATCCTCAAAATACTTCAGGGAGTTGAACATCCCTGTCTTTCATAGCTTGCTAGACCTTGGAATATTGGTAGAACAGAGCTCGTTAGCCTTGGTTGGCAGTCTGTCTAGGTTTCGAAACCAGAGCCTCCTTCGTCACCTTGATTGTTGGAATTTTGGGGTAGGCTGATGTACTAGTGAGACAGCCAAAATGAGCTGACTTATTTTATAGTTCACCAATAGAAGGATTAACCAATCAGAAGGCTCAAAATATTCAATGCGACGTGTATAAAGACGGCCATGTTTTTTTTCCCGAATACTCACGGCCAGCCTTTGATATCGAAGACTGAAGAATTACGGAAGAGCTGCTGGTGCTATTGGCGATATAGGCAGATTCAGTAGAGTGTCTGACTCGTGAGTATTAATCTTTAACGTTGTTTCATTGAACAGATTACGTACTGCGGTGTATTCTAGTCATAGACTATGGTGAACATGGTTAACACTGATGACAACCATTCAAATGGCTAACCGCTTCATCTTGCGCGTATGTGCTGCGCTAGTCAATTTTCGAGTGATGGTCGAAAGAGGATTTGGGATCTGCCGACGTTATTTTTTTTTTCCTCCGATGAGAATTATGGAAAAGGTGTTCGTCATCTGTGAAACTAAAACTTATCACGCTTTGCACCGTTCATTGACAGAAATGTGAACTTGCGGTGTTGTAATAAAAAATAAACTTTTCTTGCTTTGGGGCCATATTTAATGTAATTGTTGATTGTTGTCAAAACTGGCATTCTATCATGCATACCTTCCAGACGAATAACTTTATAATATTATTGTTGTAACTAAGTTATCAAAATAACAATAGAAAACCGCAATTGTTTTAACAAGTTTATTACTTTTTGGTACAGGGAAACATAATATAGAATATATACTAGGGGAGATAATGCTTAGCTGTGAATGATTATTTTCAGCAATGGCTACTCCTCTTTATGTAGGACTATTTTTTATCTTTCATCCGACGGCCGAGTTCAAACTTGTAGGAAAATATTCTTCACGATAATTATTAATAATAATTTTATATGTGATTTGAGCGCCGTGATAACGATTAACGAATGATTTTACTCAATACAACCAAAAACTAAGTCTGTCTGGATATGACTTTATATATTAAGGTTGTTACATATAATTATTAGTTTATTCTGATATTCTGAGAATTATCTCGAATCTTACGTAGCATTCTTTGCTTCTTAGATTCTCTGGTTGTCCTGTGAAACTTTTGTCTAAGGTTATTGAAATTTTATTTCCAATTAGACACCGCTTAGAGATGGAATGCCAAGTAGACAGAAATGAGCATGACCGACCTCTTCTCATTGCTTTTAATCATCACAAAGCTACAAAAGTTGCTCGAGACATTTGTGCCGTGTGGGGAGATGACATTCCTCAAAACAACCAAACGTTCAGCGCTAAGTTGCATGTTGAATAAATGGACACGCTCAAAGAGACCATTCAGTTGAAAATCCACGGCCGTCGATACAAGTGAGAGTATTCAAACCTGAAAATGCTCGCTTCCACTTTACTAACCTGACCAAACATAGTTGAAGAACTCGTTTGGGAAGTTCTGCCACACACACTATATTCTCCTGATTTAGGCTTCTCTTTTAGTCGCTTTCTAACAATTTGAGGGCTGTTTTGTTCAACATGGATCTTGAGATTTAAACGTGCCTTGATGAGTGTTTTCAAGCCAAAACTTAGTGGCTTTCTTTTGTCGAGACGTTGAACAGTTAGCCGATCGTTAAACAATGATATAGGGACACATTACAGAATGATTCATCAGAACGGTTAATAAATAATAAGTATTAAAATAAATGATGAAAAACGAGCGAATTTATGCAACAATCTCTTACTATCGAATAGATATTCAAACATCTTCCGTCTTCATTATTATTTACGCCACGCAATTCTAGACTTTACCTATCAATCAAAACATGTATAAATGAAGAGTTGTAGTTGTGCTTAAAAAGATTAGTGGTGTAGATGATACGTGATTTAATTGAAGATTTTATCTGAATATAGCTCTATTATGGTGACTGTTGGCAAACATACCATCCATATAGGGTTTGTTAGAAAGCGTTTTTCGCAAACAATTCACAGTGGGCTGAAATCGATATATACTGTGACTTTCGGGTAGGCGAGACTATAGGTGTAAAAACAGAACCTTTTACTTACAAAGGTACTATTCCCCTGTTTAATGTCATTATTTAACTTTGCTTCGTCATCGAAGAGGATGATCCGTAGAGGAGAGGTCAAACCACGCTAGATCTAATGAAGGTTTCCCCTAAAACGTAGGTTTAGACCCTGCTGGTCAGAGCATATATATTTTTATATACATTGAATGATATATACATATCTAGATGAATACAACTATTTCTGTTTGTAGGTGGGTATAATTTTAAGAAGGCGGTCCAAAGTATTTAAGATAATTTTCTTACTTACTGGTTATGTATTTGGCATTGCAGCGTTACCAATTTTTTGTCCGATGCTTTCTTGGGCATACTCGGAGACCATGCGCCGCTACCATTCCTTCGTTCCCCTATCGTCTTTCTTGCTTCAGCCAAACTCTGAACTGTAGTTTTATTTGATTTTGATTTGTTCAGCTTGTTCTAATTGGTTGACTCTGATCAATAACGAACGCAGCAGGTAGCATCTTTAGTCGAAGAACGATGTTTGTTAGACGTATCGATTCCACAGATATTGGGCCGGTGTCAAGCATACTTCTCAAGTGGTGAACAGTAGGAATGAGCAAAAGGGAGACATAAAAGGAATAAAGAAGAAAAGAAAAGAAAAAAGAAAAGAAAGTGGTGGACCAAGAAAAAATATGGAAGGAAAGAAAGAAAGATATAAGAAGAGGGGGCAGAAAAAATAGAGATAAAAAGAAGATGAGGAAAAAGAGAAAGAATAGAAAAAGACAAAAACAAAGACAAAGAAAAGAACGGAGAAAGAAAGAAAAGAGAGAGAAATAGAATAGAAAGGAGAAGAGAGAAAAAAACGAAGAGTAAGAGAAACAAAAAGAAGGAGAGTAGATGGGAGCAAAAAATGAAAGCCGTAAAAAGAAGAGAAAGAAGATGGTCGAGAAAAAAACGACAACGACAAGATAATGACAGTGGAAGAAAGCTTGAAAGCCAATAATAAGAAAGAAGAAAGATAAAAATAAAGAAAGATTGATAGAAAGAACGATAAAAAGAAAGAAAAACGGCAAAGAAGAAAAACGGGAAAGAGAAGTTATAACAAAAAAAAAAGAGGACAGATGAAGATAGAAAGATATAAAGACTAAAAGAGTATAAAATAAATAAAAAAAAAGAAAGCGACAAAACGAACGTGTAAGAAGAAGTCGATGAAAAGGGTTTAGATAGAAATAAGGACAATAAAAAGAAAGAACGAAAGAAACAGAAAGAAAGAAAAAAACTGAAGAGACCATCAAAATCAACATCAGCCGTAACAGAAGAAAAAAAAGAAAAGAAAGAAAAAAAAGAAAAGAAAGAAAAAGAAGAAAAGAAAAAAAAAGAAGAAAAGAAAGAAAAAGAAAACACCGAAATCATCAACGTCTAAATTATCAGCAGCAGCACATAAAAGAATTGGAAAAAGAATTTAAAAAAACGTGAAAAGAAACCAAAACAATATTGGATTTCTTTCTGTTACGTTTATTTCTTTTGCCAATCGTTCTCAGTTTTTGCTAATAACAAAATCTACAGACCCATGATATTAATATAGATAATTTGGTTGCTCTGCTATGCGTTATTCAGGGGCGGCGTATACACAGATAATAGATGGAAGAAAGCCGAGAAAAAGGGGAAAAAATGGCAGATAACGTTTTTATTTAGGTGAACTTAGGGCTGTTTTAATAAAAAGGCAGAGTGTTAACCCAACAAATATTTGGTTTTGTATCGAATTCATGCCTAGCAGTCAAAAAATAGAAACCACGAAAAACACGAAACGCAAATTACGTGACGAAAACAAGAAAATAACAAACAACATATATTCCTCTGTACATAACTTTTACTTTTCTGTATCTATCTATGTATCTCTCTCTCTCTCTCTCTCTCTCTCTCTCTCATCTATTTATCTATATTCATATCTATCTATATCGTCATTTTCATATCTATCTATCTATCTTAGTCTATTCATATATATTTGTCTATCTATCTATCTATCTCTCTCTCTCTCTCTCTATATATATATATATATATATATATATATATATATATATATATATATTTTTCATATCAATCATTTCTATCTTTTGATATCTATCTCATTTTGTTGATATCTATCTATATATCTCATCCTTTTCATCTATCTTAGTCTATTCATATGTATGTATGTATGTATTCATATTATTATCTATATTTTCATCTATCTTTCTATCTATCATTTAGTCTATTCATATCATCATCTATCTATCTTAGTCTATTCATATCTTATCTATCATATCTATCTGTCTATCTATCTATCTTCTCATATCAATCTTTCTGTCTTTTTATATCTATCTCATTTTGTTGATATCTATCTATCTATCTATCTATCTATCTATCTATCTATCTATCTATCTGTAAATGAGTAGGAATTGTAAGTAGGATTTCGATTCTTGATAAAATCCAAAAAATCTGTAATGTTATTGAACCTGATCTGGCATCTTGGCTTAGTCACATTATAACTGCCATAATGAAGATTCCTCGTGTCTTTTCTATAAATACAATTCATGCTAGTTGTTCTGATGTTCTTTCCTCTATGCTACTTAGATTTAATGAATGTAAGTGCAATACTAGATTTTGCGGCAAGGTCTCATCATCTTACAGTTGAAATGGCTATATATAACCGTAAGTTCTATGCTAACAGTTTCTTCTATTGCACTACTCGCTTCATGCTTCCCTGTCAACTTCGATCATTAAAAATGTAATTGCAATATCAATCGTTATTTTCTGTCTTCTTAATTCTTATTCTTTTATTGTTTTCTTTCATTAACAGGTTCATGTTGCATATTCTTTAACACTTATTAACCCTTTGCGTCTTAGCAGATTTATTCCCTTGCTTGAGATTAAAAAAAATGATTACGACGGAAGTGTTGAAAATTTCTCAGCCTAACTCACTTTCCGACGTCTGTTCAAATAATAAAAATTGCTAATTTGACAAGGGTTATAATCTCGTCTTCGTCGGGCCAATGACGTTTCATCACCCACACGGAGTGGCAGACGTTAATGTAGGAGACATGTATTGTAAGAGTGAGAGCGTGTGTTTGGCTATGCAAATCAGCAGTGCTCAGTGACTGTTAGTTTCCCTCTTCAAGAAATATTCCGACTATTTGATTTTCCCAAATTGTCTTGTCATAGATCTGACAGCTACCATTTTCCCCCAATAAATATCGTAAATTTTAGACTACATATATTCTTTTATTATTGTAAACATTTTTTTAGTTTGTTTCGATTGGCATCCCTGTTTTTTTTTCTTAAACAGTGAAATCAATGTCAACTAGCTAAATCGGGAAATCCTACTAAACAAACAGGAACTCAACCAAGTTTTTTTTCCATCAGGAAAATGATTCCCTATAGTTGAAGTGTGCTCTTATCAGTTAGGCCACTTAAAACCATCATGATAAGGCAACGTTCAGTTAGAAAGAGCACCGCTTGTGTTCACTCCAAGCAAGGCGATAAAGCCCCTAAGTCACTAGGGATTAGTGAGTGAAAAGGGAACAGAGAAAAATTGCTGAAAAGAAAGGAGAATAGAAATGACAGAATCGAAAGAAAAGGAAAATAAAGATTAAGGTTGCATTTAAATTTGGGGAAAATGTAGTTGAGAGGAAAGCAAGAATCTGGAACTACGAAGGAAGAAGCCATTAGAATAGAATTTACGCTTATACTTAACAATTTCAGCAAAAATGTGTGTGTGTACGCGCGCGTGTGTGTGAATGTGTGTGAGTGTATTTTTTTCTTTTTTCTTTTTGCCTGTACGGTGGTAGAAAATTTCGCAATGACTACCCAAAGACCATTCTTTTTATCAAACATTCAAAAATTCTTTTGCAATCTTAACCTATTTTTACTTGCAAATAACTCATAAATCAGTATTTTTCTAGGAGTCCGCCCCCTTAGATCTTTCATGTTTCACAATAATTAGATTCAAGTCTGTAGATTGACTTGGACACTGATGTATCTCTAGATTGTCCGGGAGAAACCATTCCCCAATTTCTGTAAATGCATATTTCTGGCGTTTTTTCTTTCTTTCTGAAAGATACAACCCCTCCAAGATTTCACCAATTAACTTACAAAATATCCTGATTCATCATTTTAATCATGGTTCCTTTAATCACTCGAACTGCTCCTGTATCACTGACAATGAAACACTTCCAAATAATGATACTTCTACCACAGTTCTTTGCTGTAAGGATGGCTTTTTTCGATCATAAGCGAATCTATTTGCGTTTTGTCCAGCCAAAAAATGTTTTTCCCAAAATGCTCAGCATCCATTAAATTATTCTGATACTTTGTCTAAAGATTCTTGACAAAATGTTTCAAGGGGTCCACCCTTTTTTATACAAGTGGACTCGCCCAATGTGTACCTGTACTGATGCCGGTGAATAGCCCGGGAGTGAAGTGAGAGAGTGAGAGTGTGAGGTAACTGCTTTGTAGGAGTCACAGTTGCGAGCACGTAGACTCAGAAGGAAGTCATACTTCGATACTGAATTTCCCAGACTGTATATATATTATTATTGCTACTAACCACATTTCTGGATCTACTAACCGTATTACCAATTGTATTATTAAGTCAATACATTTATTTGCTGTATTTCATTCCTGCGTTTGTCATTCATTTGAGACCGGATTTCATCCCGGAATCCACAACAAAATGCAAAGAAGAATCAGCAATATTACTGGTCATGATCTGGCATCTCAACTTCCGTCACTTTAGCCCGCTATCGTTATGTAGCTACCCTGTGCCTTTTTTTTATAAATATTTTCACGGTAATCATTCTGATGAGATTTGATCGTTGGTACTTCAACTTTACACAATACTAGATTGGCAACTGGTTCTCATAATGTAACCATTCTATGGGAATAGTTTTTTTCTCTAGCACTTCTCGCTTTTAGGGTTCACTTCCGCCTTCCTGCTTTCATGTCAACTACGATCTTCGGAAATTTAAATGCAGTGTCAGTTTTTTTTCATCTGTCTCCTAGAATCCTGTTCTTTTATTATACTGTGTTTTTTTTCCTCTTCCAATAAACCCCTTGCACCCTCGTGGTTTTTTTGCCTTGCTTGCGGTGAAATGAATAAAAAAAACCCTTTTTGTTTCAAAAAATTAGTTTTACCATGCGATACAGGAATTTAGATAATCCCAGTTCATTAAACGCCCTGTCTGAATAGACACAGCACATAGAAAGAAAACAAATACACACATTTAACTGAATAAAACGCTTAAAAACAATAATAACATTAATAAGAAGAAAAGAAGAAAAAACAGCTTTTAATAATATTAATTAAGAACACAAACAAAATGTTTCTTTTGTGACTGTGTTCTTGAATTAAAAATAATTCTATTAATAAAACAGTGTATTATTATGGCAATGTACATAGTAAGACAACCAAAAACATACTTGATTAGATTACCTCAAAGTAAATTTGCAAAAAAAAAATTAATTTCACATATTTTACCGCTTATCAGGCATCAGAAAAAAATATTTTAAATTAGCGAAACGAAATGTTATTCACTTTAAACGCTTACAAAATTTCGGGAATTTCAAAACTCTGGAAGCCTGTAAAAACTATTTAGACAAATTCATCAGCTAGAATTAGTTCATGAGCGCAGTACTAGATTGGTGGCAAGGTCTCATCATTTTGCAGCTGATATAGCTAGATATACCCATACGTTCTATTTATTCTATCGTACTTTTCCTTTGTGGAAGTTATTTTTGGCTTCTTGCTTCCCAGTCAACTTTGATCTTTAAAACTTTAAATGCAATCGCTATCTTCTGTCTTCTTAATTGTTGATTTCTATTGTCCTCTCTTAGTGGCTTTATTGCCTTACTTAGAGTGAAATGATTAAAAAAAAGAAAGATGAAATCATGAACCTGTGTTAGAGAAGGCTAAAGGTAGTGGACATGTGTAGTTGAACAATTCTATGTACAAAATATCTAAGTATTGTCTTTGAAATTCTATCCCAATTTAGAAAACACCTGCATGAACATGTTTTACCAACGAACAGATATTGTTCTTATTTAACAAGAAATATAAATTAGCGTTACAAAACCGTGATTCACGTTTGATTCGTATATTGATTGTATCGTTAGATTTTAATTAACTTCAACTTTTTCAATCTTTTCACACCAAGCATGGCAATAAAGCCACTCAAACGCAAGGTGTTACATGCAGTGAGAGAATGAGAAGATTAAAAATGGCAAGAATTGAGGAAGGGACAAAAAAAGAAAAGAAAAAGAAGTGTTGAACAATCACGTGGTCAAGATAAACACTCAGTTGTGGAGCAAGCTGAGTGAATACTAATTCAACATTGAGAAAGAGAGCTATTTATGGTGCAATGGAGCATCTCATTATGCTAAAGTGGGATAGTCCATTGCTTGGGCTGTGATTGGCTGCTGGTACCTGAGTGGAAGTATTTCTATATAAATACTAGCATGATTTCTCAGTTAGTTTGCAGGGTTTGTATTAAGTTACAACCTGCTTTATTTTTGTCTGCCAACTGGACGCTAGCTGGGACTCTTACGCCGGTAAGTGCTGTTTATTATTGTTATTCTACAAGAAGGTGGTGACTGACGTTGCATTTAAATTTTTGTAGATTGCAGTTAGCAGGGATGAAAGAAATCGGAATAGAGTTCCACAGGTGAAAAAGTGCGAGAAATGAAACTGTTTGAGTAGAAGTGGTGGTTTCATCTTGCTGGTTCAACAGTAAAATGGTGAGACCCAGTTGCCAATCTAATAGCACGCTTAAGTTCATGTAACCGGCGCAGAGGTGAAAAAACTCGTCAGAGCAACTTCCATGAAAATATTTGTAGAAAAGACAGACTGATGCCACGCAACGTGGGTAAGAAAGTCACTGGAGACGTGATGCCTTGTCAAGATGGATTGTATTGTAGACCCTTCCCTCGATTTTCTCAAGAATCTCGAGATCCAGAGTAGGCGAATCAGACCAAATATGGCGACGGTATTCAATTCAAGGGAAGGTGCGTGAACCAGGAATGCACTGACGATGTGCATGGGGGTTGGTTGTGGGCACACGATCGACTCTGCGGCATCGTAGAATGCAGCGAAGGCAATCGTTGTCGAACACTTCAAGGCTTCGTAGGTCAACTGCTCTAAGTGGCCACGTTTCGTAGCTATAAAGAAGAATAGTCCGAACAATAACCAGATACATGCGCGTATTCGTAGCCGTGGAAATATCCCGTCGATCCCCCAGTGACCATAGTGACTCTACGTCGTCGCCTGAGTCTCCGTCCTCTTCCACCTGTTCTGCTCCGGCGTCGTCTCCGATGGTTCGGGCAAGCAGCTCTACGCCCGGAGGGAAAGCTTATCCGTGATTTACTTCTCCCTCCTTCTCTTCCTGCCTGGCGAAAACGTGTCGGTGGGCGGCTGAAGACCTGGGCTAGCACAATCAAGGATGATCTAGCAGTACTATCGGGTCCACAAGTAGTTGGTCTTCGACGAAGGAATCGCGATTGGCTCGCCATTTCGTGTGACCTGACTCGGGATCGGCGAGCGTGGGCAGCGATGGTCCGTGATGCTGTACTTGCTCGGGAGGAAGCCGGTTCAACTCGACCTGGGTGAAAACCGATACAAGTCAAGTGATGATGTGCATGATGGATTTTGACGAGAAAAAATTTTTGGTACGACATAGTGAACCTTTTTACTTTTAAGTATTTTAATCTATTTTATTTATCTAACTTCATGTATTATTTAACTTATACTCATTCACTAAAAAGAGGATAAATTGATATTATATATATATATATATATATATATATATATATATATATATATATATATGTATGAATTACATAAAAATGAAACTCAATTTTACCCCTTCTATATGCCCATTTCGATCCTCGAAAGATTTCTCTCTTAGAGAAATTCCTGGAGCTTGTCAGTATTAAAACATTTGCTAAAAAGTTTTTTTATTTTTTTATTATCAAAAGTTTTGTATTGACAAGTTCCAGTGAATTTCTAGAGGAGCAAAATGGCCATATAAATGGGGTACGATTGACTTTCATTTTTAAGTAATTCATTTATATATTCTATAATAAATATATTGAGCTCTTTTTTGTGGATCAGTTTTATCTTATCAGGATTCACTTGGATTAATTGCCCACATATTTTATCTATCTATCTAAATCGATTTCACTCCAAGTAAGGCAGTAAGGCCCCTTAGATACAAGGAGTTACTGGATGGGTAAGAATTATGAAACAGAAATATTACGAATGATTGGGAATAGAAAAGAGTAATCAGGAGGACAGTAGATAGTGATCGACATTGAATTTTAATTTTTGTAGATTAAAGTTAACTGGAAAGCATGGAGCTGGAAGGGAGCACCAAAAGTGAGAAGTGCAAGAAAAGAAACAGTTAGCAAAGAATTTACGGACACATCTAACCAGCTTAACTGTAAATCGATGAGACCTCGACGCTAGTCTAGTATTGCGCTTAAATTTAAAAACAAGTCTACGTACCATAGCGAAGAGTTCATCCGAACACTTGCAATAAGGAGATTGTGCGTGTGTGAGTGAGTGTGTGTGTCTGCTATTTGCCGGTGAATGTGTAGATGGTGTAATCTATAGCGGAATAGCCGTGTTCGAATTCTAGTCCTGCCTGTTCTATTCATTTTCGCGTAAATACTCTTGCGAAAGGTATGAATATATTTCTCCTCTACCAGCTATGGGTGAAATACGAGAATTATGATATAAAGCTAGAACTTGAAGATTACCAGAAGTATGCCGAAAACGCCAAATCACAAACATTTTGAACAATATCTGTACTCGTTCGATCCAAACATGCTTTCTTCTATGTAATCAAGAAACATTAACATAAACAAGCCAAATCCATGATCATAAAAGAGGATTCATCCATAGAAAACTGGATCTTAAAAATTATCAGAGGTATAGTTGAAGAATATCTGTGATCACTGAACCGGAACATACACTCTCTGCTACATAAAAGATGGAAGCAACTAAGCGAAAAAGATATTACATGATAAAATCGCTTCTTCTTAAAATTTCATACAATATAATTTCAGACCATTACTCTATTGCTTTATATTTTAAGAATAATAAAAATCAACACAGTCGTCAGAATAACCGATTATATTTGAGACATGCTAAATTTTCCATCCCTTAGTGATGTAATGAATATGCATACACTTGGGTTCCACCTCACAGTAGTATGATTGGCTGGTGTCAGCTATAAATAGAGACTGATGTGGAGGCTCAGAACGACGTCTCTTCACGACGCCTATTGGCTACGCCTATAGTCTACGCCTATTGCCTAAGCCTATTGCCTACCACTACGACGAGGACCAGTCCATTACGGTTACCTGCTAGATTGTCCTACTCGGTTACAGAAGTCCAAAACCACTTTGCTACTTCGAACAAATATATCTCTTTCCGGGACATATCACTTAGGAAAATTAAGTGAAATACTTTTGCCGGGGTACAGAATTTAATGAAAGCGACGTTAAAACAAGAAGGAAAATCTAAAAAGATATAACTTTAGCGTAAAGTGATGATAATTAAAGACGATTAAGAACAAAACAAAAAAGCTGATAAACAGATTCATTAGTCCTATCACATGAGAACTCTGTTGAGAACGAGAAATGTGACAGAAAATGAACACCAAAAACCAAATATAAAAAATATTCCAAGTATAATACGCATTTTTTCTAAAAAAAAAGAAGCAAAATTAAGGGTGCGTATTATGCATATCTACAAAAGATCTTTTTAAAACAATCCCTTTTCATAGGTCAATTTTAGTTGTGAAATGACTACTCATCACAAATATACGATATTTTGAGACTAACATTCAGCGATTGCGACCCCATAAGGATACAATCATATGTACCGAACAATACTTACAAATGTAAAATAAAATAAAAATTATTATAAAACTAAATCAGAAAAATATTATTCTGTGTTTAAAACCATTTTTAATAAGAACAGCAAACGCTGGCTGTAATGAAATTGGATAGGTACAATTTATTTACAAACAAGGATGCGTATTAAGCGTGAGAAGAAGCATTTTCCCACATTTTCAGCACAATTTTAGGGGTGCGTGTTATGGATGAAGGCGCATTATACATGTGGAATTACGGTATTACAATTACAGGTTAATTAAATTTAAGACTAAAAGCCACCGAATTTGCTAACAGAGCTGGCTGGTGGGATTTGATGTAAATTGATTCCAACACCTTCAAATGAAATTCAGAATAAGCTTTACTCTGTACTGAGAATATGTCTCTATTGTAACATAGGGTACATTGCTTTTTTTATTAGGTTCGTTTATTGCTGAACCACTTGTATTACGCACCTGTCTACATTCCCAACTTATCCACGGGAATTTTGGCTGGGACGTGGTGATTGATCCAATCTTTCACCTTTTCTATTTATGGTCACTATGACATTGTCATTTAAATTCTTAAATTCCTCTTCAGAACGTAAGCGATTATGGTTCTCCAAAATTACCCGCTTTTTGTAACTTTTAGTAAATTGTGTCTTTTTGTTATCTCTCCTCAACCCTGATCTACAATCCATTTACTCAAGCCCGCTATGTAGGTTATGCTTTGTTTTCCTCTGCTCCGCTTGCCTTTAATCTGCCCTGTGAGCACCAAATTTTCCATGTCCTCCTTTCTCTGTATGTGCCCTAGAAATTTCAACCGTCTCTTTCTGATGTTAAGAATATGTCTTTTTTTGTTTTCATTTTCTCTAAAACTTCGTCATTTCTCACATGTTCGGTCTATTGCATTCTGTTGAAACTTGACTAATGCATGGAATAATAATGCAACACAAAATGTACTTAGAACAAAATGTATTGAAACAAGAAAGTGTACACAATATTTACATATAGTCTTTTGTATATTCCTGGTAAGACCGTTCCTGGAGAATGTGTTGACTGAGTCGCAGTCGGGCAGAGTCTCTGGTTGAATCTCTTGATTCCTCCCTCTCTTCCCGGACCAACCATATTTATATGGTCGGTACTCCACTATGCAAATTAGGTGGATCCTTCCACAACATATTCAAAGCAACCTTTTGTAGAACTACATTTCTGTTGCTTTAATACACTTTTTTGTTTTTTTATCTTTGAAGAGATTGTCCAGAATATAGAAGGACTGATATTGCCTTCAGTACTCTTTTCTTTGTTTCTAACGTTATATTCTTGTTTCTTATACTTTGCTTAGCTTTAATTGATAAGTTATCGAAGTGATAGGATGCGAAGTTAGAAAATCATTCTGGATCGATCTCAACATTGGTCGGGCGACAAAGGTAATACGTGTATTGGCAGACAGATAACAGTTTTTCACACACAGAGATATCTGCTTAGCAAACCTTGTACTCACAATTAAATGACAGTTTTTGGAGGCTTCGTGAAACCTGTCAGAATAACCGAAATGTAAAACTTAATATTTTTGGCACAGATATCCCTGTCCGGGCACGATGCCAATAAGATCCTGCCAACTTCTAGGCGAGTATTTATCCGAGATGGGCCCCACTTTGCTCACTACATCATACAGGACACATAGGCTGCCGGGAACTGTGGACAATTAATACATTGGCAGCTTTGGGTATTGTTTAGTAATAGATTATCACCATTAAATTCTTATTTTATTACTTACAGCCCAAATCGCATTTCGGCGTTACCTTCATTGCATATATGCCCAGCATCCGTTACTTCAGCACGGTTCGTTGATATTTGGTCAGTAATTGGCTTTGTCCACATGGTCAAGCAATGTAATTCTCTTTCGAGAAATTCGTAATTTATTCGTTTTCATTAATTTGTTTCATTCTTCTTTTCTTCTGATAGTGTTATTTCTTCTTTTTTAATTGCTATTTTCTTCTTCAATTAAATCTTCTATGCTTCTTTGTTAAGAATTCATTCTTTTCACGTTTATTTTTTTGTTACTCAATTTCTGCTCTTCGATTAAAAATCCCTTTTCTAAATTTTAGTTTATTCTCTGTTTTTCTTCCAAGTTCTTTTTCGTTCTTCCTTGTTTTTTTCTGGCGATTATTCTACTTCGCTGCATTTAGATTTTCATTCCTTTCCTCATTTTTACGTTATTTCTTCCTTCTATTTGTATTTATTTCATATTTTACTTTTTCAGTTTAAACTGTTCTTCACTCTTTTTCACTTCTTCCGTTTTTTTTCTTTTTCATTCTTTCCTTCTTGACCTTCTTCCTTCCTTCTTTCTTTCTCTCTTTCTTGGTTTTAATTTTTCTTTATTTTTTCTATAGCTCTTGTTTTTTTATTCATTGCCTTATTTCGTTCTTCCCTTCTTTTTTTTATCCACGTTTTTTTTTTATTAATTTCTTTGTCTTCTGTTTTTTTTATTTTGATCAATAATGTATTTAAAATTTATTCTTTCTTTCTTTCAATATTTAATTTCTATTATTTTCTTTTGATGATCTTCACATTCTATTTTTTACTTTATTCCATTCTTTCTTTTCTTTTCTTTTCTTTCTTTCTTTTTTCTTTCTTTCTTTTTTTTCTTTCTTTCTTTCTTTCTTTTTTCTTTCTTTCTTTCTTTCTTTCTTTCTTTCTTCCGTTTTTATTCACTCTATTTATTCACACTTTTCTTATGCCTACATTTGACTTTAGTATTTCAGAAATATTTTTATTTTCGTTTTCTCCCTTTGGATTACCTTCACTTTCATTCTCCATTTTATTCTTTCTTTCTTTCTTTTTTCTTTCTTATGTGTTTTATTATATCTTTCGTCCTTTGTTCTTTTGTCTACGTTGTCTTATCAATTTCTATTTTAATTTTTTTTTTCATAATTTTTCTCTTCTGATTAACTTTGCATTTTCTTTCATTTATTCTTTCAGTTTTTATTTCTTTTCAGTTCTCGATTTACACATTTATTATATGTTTATGCCTGTCTTTCTTTCTTTTTCTCTGTTTTATTCATTCTCCATCTTTATTCTCTCTGCGTTATCTCGTCTTTCATTAATTTCTATTTTTCTCCTCTAATAGTCCCCATTTTTCTTTTAATTCTTTCTTTCTTCCTTTTTCTTTCTCTTTCTTTCTTTCTTTCTTTCTTTCTTTCTTTTCTTTCTTCCGTTTTTATTCACTCTATTTATTCACACTTTTCTTATGACTACATTTGTCTTGTCTTTCTTCAGAAATATCTTTACTTTCGTTTTCTCCCTTTGGATTACCTTCACTTTCATTCTCCATTTCTTTCTTTCTTTCTTTCTTTCTTTCTTTTTTCTCTTTTGATTTTCATTTCTTTCTTCCTTTCCTTCTTCGGTTTTGTTTTCTCTTCTTATTACATATATTTACTTTTTAATTATTCCTTTATCCTTCATTTTTTTCTTTTTTTCTTGTTTTACTTCCATTTTTTAATATGTCATTCTTCGTTTCTTCTTCGTTTTGCACTGTTTACTATTTTTCATTATTTTTTTTCTCCTCGGATAGTTCAAAACTATTTTTTAAAATATTATTCCTTGGGTATCTATCTATATATTTATTTCCTTCAATCTTTTTCTTTCTTTTTTTTTTTTTCAATTATTCTAGCATTCATTATTTTTTTCCTTTCTTTTGCTTTTTATTCATTCATTTTTGTCCTTTTTTCTTCTTCTGCCCCTGTAGTTTTTTATCAAATTCTTTATTTTCACTTCAGATTCCATTCATTTTCTTTTTTTCGAATTCCTTCATCGTTTGTTTCCCTCTATTTTCTTCCTTTATGATTTTCATTCGTTTCTTTACAATTCAATCAGTCTTTCTTTATTTCTTCTTTTCTCTTTTTTGTCTTCCTTCCTTCGGTCACTTGATTTACTTTTTATTCTCTTACTTAATTTTTACATCTTTCTTTACTCTTTCTTTTTTCTTTTATTTTTCCTTCTGTCAATATGTTTGATCCCTTCTTTCCTCCTTCATTCGGTGAGTCATTCTTTATTCTCTATTCTCTTATTTAATTCCATTTTTAAATCTTTATTCTTCCTTTTTCCTTTTCCTTCGAGTTTTTCTTCTATGCATCCATTATTTTCCCGTTTATTTCTTCCTCATTCCTTTTCATAGTTTTCTTGTATTCATTCACATCTTATTTAACCGCCTTTTGAATCTTTCCTCCCCTTTTTTTCCTTTTCTTTATTTCATACAACTTCTTTTCTTTCTCTCTTCCTTTCTTCATTTCTTTATTTTCTCTTTCCTTCTCGTCTTCATTTCGAATTACAGCCATATCACATTAGGACTCCAGGTCTTGTATGATCACCAACGTTAAGCAACGTCGATATTAGTCACTACTTAGATGTTTGACTACTTGGAAATATCAGGCGCTGTAAGCTTGGATGTGGGGATAATATAATGAACAACGGTTCGCATTTGGAAATCAGAGTTGCATGTTCGATTCCAGTGGGGTCCGTTATATTCACATACGCACAAAACCCCTTGAGAAACGCATGAATCCACCTCTTCTCTCCCAGGTATGGATTAAATAGTAAGACGTTTAACAGTAAATAATTATCATCTCAAAACATTCTTACAATTCTTTCAAAAGGTTGATAAGCCTAAAAAGATGAAGAATTCTATAAACGCAGATCTCTCCCTTCATTAACTTTGTTTTTTCTCTTCCTTCCTTTTTTTCTTTTCTTCCTTCTTGTTTTTCTACTCTTTCTTTTCTTCTATCTTTTCTTTCATTCAATAGTTGAACTTTCGCATTCTCCTTTTTCTTGGCTTTTTACGCTTAACCGTATGACGATAAACTACATCTGGCAGCAAGACCACTGATTGGGAGGTTTGGAGGAGAGTGAAACCACCTCTTAATTTCTTTTGTTCCCAGGTCAACCCTGACTCGGGGTTGTAGCACCTGTTAGGGCCCCAGCTTTGGGTCAACAGACAGCCCCCAAACTTTCGTCAAAACATGAAAATATAAAAATACATTTTTGTAGGAAGAAAATACATTTTCATAGCAAAAAAAAAAAAAATATAATACATTATTAGAAAAGGAAAATAAAAATTATCAGCAGTACGTTTTTGAAAAAAAAAATTTACTAAAGCTCCCAAGAAAATTAAAATTCGGCATTAAGTGCCCCATAAAGGAGTTGATATGCCATTAAACAAAACAAACAAACAAACGAAAAAAAAAAAAAACAAACTAACTCTTAATCTGTTTTTCTCATAATTCGGCCATCTTTTTCATCTTCCTTTAATTCATACTTTTTAAATATTCTGCTGTATTATTTTCTTCGTCTTTCTTTCATTATTCGATCTGTCATTTCCAAATCCATGGAGTTTATCTTTGTTTCCAGAGAAGAGGTTGAATTTTGAAATCTTCCTCATCAGAACGAAAATATGATGTAATGACCTTTCAAAAACACTCGGGATCTGTATCGGTCGAACCATAGATTTTAATCAGTGCTTAATATCATTCGGTTATTGGTCGATATTTGGTTTGTGTATTTCGATCTTCGATACTTTAATCAGCAACGACTTGTATGATATGTGAATTTAGCGATGATGTATTTGTATACGTACGTTTCCACCAAGAAAAGAACAACGTCTGATATAGTGGTGTTTCTAAGCGTAGCTGAGATGTGGCACAAGGCCGAAAGTATGGGGTACCAAGTGAGCATCGAATTCACTAGTCAGTGGAAATTCATCTAGCGAGACAAGCTTGCTAAACATTTCGCAACGTCGAAGTTTCCAAAGATGGTTGTCTAAGCGTAGCTCAGATGTGACACCAGGCCGAATGTATGGGGCACTCAGTGATCATCGAATTTACTACACGGTCGTAATTGATCTAGCGTGACAAGCTTAAAAAAACATTATACAATGTCAAAGTGCCCAAATGATTTTCTAATCGTACCTTAGATGTGGCACAAGGTCGAAAGTGTGGAGCATCCAGTGAGAATTGAACTCACAATTCAGTCGTAACTGATCTAGCGTGACAAACTTAGTAATCCTTACACCACGTCGAGGTGCCTTGATTTTCGAAGCGTAGCTTAGTTGTGTCACAAGGTCGAAAGCGTGGAGCGCCCAGTGAGGATCGAAATCACTGTTCAGTGAGTGACCTAGAGAGACAAGACTCAGGTTGAGGTGTACAAAATTATTTTCTAAGCGTAGCTTAGATGTGGTACAAGGCCAAAAGTGTAGAGCACTCTGTGACGATCCAACACACTTTTTCTCTTTAGGACATCGGCGATCATGGCCCTCCACATCTTCCTGGCCCTTGTAGCTCTTAATAATTTTTGTCTTTTTGTTATTTCTCCCAAACGCTGGTCTACCATCCATTTGCTAAAGCAGATCAAGCATATTGCGTGCTGCTTTCATCTGTCCAGCTTGCCCTGAATCTGACCTGCGAGTATCAGATTTTCCAAGCCCTCCTTCCTAGTTGCCCCAGAAATTTCAGCTGCCTCTTCCTGGGGTTAAGTATGTTTGCATTTTGTTTCCATTTTCTCTAAAACCTCGTCGTTGCTCACATGATCAGTCCATGGTATTCTAAGTATCTTTCTGTAGAACCACGTTTCAGCTGCTTCAGGTCTCTTCTTCCCTATTCAGTCGTAATTGATCTAGTGAGACAAGCTTATTAAGCGTTTCACCATGTCGACGTACCCAAAATGGTTGTCTAAGTGTAGCTAAGATGTGGCTTAACGCCCAAAATATGGTGCTCCAAGTGAGGGTAAAATTCACTACCCAGTAGTAATTGACATAGTGAGATAAGCTTGTTGGCCGTTTCAGCACGCCGACGTGCCCAAAATGATTTTCTAAGTATAGCTAAAATGTGGCTTAAAGCCGAATGTTTGGAATTCGTAGTGAGGATAAAATTCACTACTCAGTCGTAAGCGAGACAAGTTTGTTAACCATTACACCACTTACAACTTCTCGAACAACGACTATGACTCGTGTAGAAATCAACGTTGGATTTGTGCCGGACAATCTATCGTTTTTAACTGAATCATCAAGATCTCATACGCCACGTGTATTGATCGATGTTTTATTTGTGTAGAGACAATCATTAGCTTTTAATCAGTTAATTATCTATTTCTTATAGAACTCTTGTACTGGTTTCATTTACATTAGCTTCTTCTCGAATAACCTGTTTTAACGAATCCAATGACAAAGCATTTTAGACATCTTGCATTTTTTCTCTCTCATGTATCGTGTCAACATTCTCTTTTGAAGTTCTAAACCATCTTTCCCAATTCCTGTTCTTCCGTTATCTTTACTGATACACCATGTTGAAACCCCAAAGTTAAGCAAGTAAATTGTTCATGATGACTGTCGTCTTTGAGTATAGAATCCAGAGGTTAGCAATGAATATTTCGAAAACAGTAGGGAAGCGTTGTTCAGGTTAGCAGTGGATATCCCGGTAAAGTAGCAGAGCGTAGTTCTTCCTTCTGTTCCTCTTCGCCTGACAAACTGGTACGGAACATTCGGATAGAGTAAACAAAATGGCCGCCTTTATACACGACGGATTGAATATTCTACGTCTTCTGATTGGTTAACTTTCTATTAGTGGAGTATAAAGTGAGTCAACTCATTTTGACTTGCTCACTAGTACATACATACATATACACAAAAAAAAAACTGCAACAGGTCGAACCTGGTCAGTACCTAAACGAGTGATCGCTTGGGAATACCAGGTGCTGTAAGCTTGGATGTGTGGGTGGTGTAATGGATAACAGATCGGAATTGAAAATGGGAGAGTCAAGTCCCAGTTCTCGTTGGGATTGTTATATTCACTTACGCTCAAATAACCTTGGGAAAGATATGAACCCACCTCTCCTCCCAGCTATGGTTAATCAGTAAGATTTGTATCGCTAACAATCATTATCTAAAAAAGTTAAATCTAAAAAAAATTTCTGGCTTTTAATAACATGCGATGTGTTGATAAACCGTAAAAAATCAATCAACGTTCTTCCACCTACTTAATAAGTAGGTTACTCGACGTTACAGTCTGCTTCACTAGTCTGTTATATTTCCTGTGAGTGTTAAATTCACCATGCGCCTTTCTTCATTATGGGGTTCCAGAAATTTTAGTTGTCTCTTTCTTAGTCTAATTAGAAGAGTTATTTTTGTTTTCATTTTCCCTAAAACATTCTTGTTGTTCACATGCACTAGTCATAGTATTCTCAGCATCCTTCTGTAGAACCGCGTCTCTGTTGCTTTGTCTCCTATTCATTTGTGAAAATTTGCCCAGCATTCATTTCCAATAAATATTTGTTATCAATATATTTTATCAAACCAAACGATATTGTTTAGCTCTCAATTGTAGCCAAACAATATCAAATAAATTTCTTGCATTTAGACTTTCTTCTTCAGAGAGGTGTCGTTTTCATTGCCGCCCTGTGCGTTCGGTAGGAAACACGGCTTCTGCTTCTTCTTCTTCTTCTTCTTCATTATTATTATTACTATTATTATTATTATTATGCCGGGTTTCTTTGTGTGTAGCCGATCATGACTCTCCACAACTTTCTATTCTTTGAAACTCTTAGTGATTTTTATCTTTTCACTATTTCCTCCACTCCTTGCTCTACTGGCTTTGGGACATATCACATTGAAACACCAGTTCACGTACGATCACCGAAGTTAAGCAACGTCGAGCCCGGTCAGTACCTAGATGGGTGACAGCTTGGAAACAGCGGGTGCTGTACGCTTGCATTTGTGTGTGGTGCAGTGGATACTGACTCAGAATTGTTCCATTTCCAATTGGGTGCGTTATATTCACTTACGCTCATATACCATTGGGAAAGGTATGAATCTACCTTTTCTTCCCCTAGCTATGGGTTAATTTTTAAGACTTGTGTCACTAAATCCTTATTATCTGAAAAATAAAATAAAATTGCGTACAGAATATTTAGATTTCGGCATTAAAGAACACATAGGTGCGTGGATATGCCGCTAAAAAAACAAAACAAAGAAAAAACAACAAAAAGACAACTACAACCTTTTTCCATTTACACAACTTTGTTAGGTAGGTTACTTACGGTTTCCATCTTGCCTTCAATATATTCTGTGAGTCTCAAAATCTCTAAGCCCACTTTCTTCAATATGTCTGCTAGGCACTTCTAACATATCCGTCATTTGCTCTAATGACAATATTAATGTTGACTACATAAATTAAATGTACATAAAATCTTAATTATTGTTGATACAAATTGAATAGAAAGTTGAACAAGTGTTAATTTTAAGTAGAATTTGCTGTCATATATGGTCTGGTTCTCCCGCTCTACATCTCGTGGTCCTTGACAAAATCCAGAGACGAATATGCAAGATGATAGGTCCAGATCTGGCATCTCGTCTACAATCGCTAGACATGCTGTGGCCTCCCTCTGTCTCTTCTACAAATATTTTCACGGCAACTGTTCCGACGAGCTATTTTCCCAGGTTCTCGGACTATATAACCTTAAACGTGCTACCAGGCTGGCATCTCCCCCACGTTTTCATTGTCAAAGCTGTTAAATGTAACCATCTCTTCTTCTCAAACAGGCACTCGTCTCGCACTTCCCGTCTGTGGAACTCCCTTCCCGTTACCTGCTTCACCGATGGCTATAATCTTCATATGTTCAAGTGTAATGTCAATCGATATCTGACTCCCTGAGCTTATTCCCTGTCCTTCTTTGTAATCTTTCCTCAAACACGCATTTTTACTCTTGTTCTCCATCCTCTGTAACCCTTGCGTGCTAGAGGCACTCCCGACTTGCTTGGGGTGAATTGCCTTAAAACAAACAAAAAATAATATCAGTGAATGCTGATCAATTTCCTCATAGTTCCTGGTTATGACGATAAACTACATCCGGAAGCTAAGGCTTCTGATAGGGAGATTGGAGGGTTTGAAGAGCATGGAACAACGTCTTAATTGCTTTTGTTCCCAGTTCCTCCCATATCCGGGGTGGTAGCACCTGTTGAGGTCCCGGCTATGGGCAAATATTGAGCCCCCTAAACAAAAGCAAAACCATATGAAAGTATAAAAATAAACCTTTATAGTAAAAATACCAGCAATAACTCTTCGTATAAAAAAATTACAAACAATGCTTATTTACGGTAAAATTACCAAGAGTAACTCAATCAACATGAAAGAACTATTTCATAACATCAAGTCATATAATATTTTACAATTTCTTAAAGAAATTAAACTGTGGTCCAAAATATAACACGAAACACTCATGTCACTGTCTCTCCGTACACAAAATAGGAGTATCATCTACCATGTATAAAATTGTGAAAGCAGAATAACATATATCATATTTTTATTACTTCAAAGATCCCAAGAAAATTAAATTTCGGCATTAAATGATCGATAAAATGTTGATATGCAGTTAAACAATCAAATCAAATCAATTTCCTCACAGATGATATGAAAACAGTAGGAAATGTGGTTCAACAGAAGGATGCTGAGAATTCCGTGAACATATCACGTAAGCAAAGAAGAAAAAATGGAATAAAAAAAGAGGCTTATTTTGTGAATCAGAGTCAGCTGAAATTTCTTGGACATATAATTAGGAAGGAGGGCTTGGAAAATTTAACGCTCACGGGACATAATGCAAGAGTAAAACGGAGGCAAAGTGTCACCTACCTGAGCGCCCTGTTTATAGATGGCAGAACTGGGTGTAGGAGTCATGGCAAAAAACGAAACTTTATGCAAAGGATAAGAAGTCGTAGAGAGCCATGATTACCCACACACTGGAGCGAAACGTCACAGAGATGAAGAATGTCAATCGTTCATTTTCGAATCAATTAACGGACAGAATTTCATTTTCGTTTCTAAAAGCAGACATTTGTAGCGATATCAGATGTCTGTTGATACCTTGCTAAGGACCCACATGCAACGCGTCACAGAAATTGCTTGACAATTATATGTCCAGGCAAAGAAGGTCAGCTTAGTGAAGTGAACGTCCCCAATAATCAAACGAAGGTTAGGCCTTGATTTTTGATTAATTACTTTTTTTTAGATAAAGCGGACAAAACAAAAAACGAGGGTATCTCTAAGACAGTGTCCCCGCGAGGAAGGCACACAAAGAGGCACAAGAGGCTGCCTCGTTATGACTAGAACAGAAAAACACCGTTAGACTGTTTACCTCACTTCACTTCTGCCTCGCTCTTCTATAGCAGAAGCTTACAACTAGAATAAAATTTGCTTACTATTACTACAATTGGTTCATGTTTATATTTCGTGTGTGACGATCCGGAAAAAGAGTTATTTTTAAAGCCACAAGCGTTTGATTGGAAGAAGCTGCATCCTGTGTGAATGAACTTGATGTGTGGTCTTAGTTACAACGATACACATTCGCCAGTTTGAAAAATTACCGCTGCCCAATCATATGCATTTTGAAATAAGAACTGAATTCAATACAAAGCTAGTACACAAAAGTAAGTCAGCAAAGCCGCGACGACACAAGCGCTTTCTGTGCGTGGAAGAAATAGAAAACAGAAACAGGAGTGAGAACAAAAGAAAAAAAAAATCAGGAGGACATTATACAGCGATTGACATTGCATTTAAACATGAACTGGAAGTTATTCTGACAAAGGACGGAAAATGCGACACTGAGAGCCGAAGACAAATAGGGATTGCCAAAGATACATTCGAAATGATTAAAAGAGTATTAAGAGAGAAAAAAAAATGTTAGAAACACAGGAAAAGAGATTTAGACGGTAAAACATTTTGCAATATACGCTCTTTTTCCACCTGTACAAGGAGGCAATTCTGAGTGAACTAGAAGTCCTACCAGGATTTATTATTATCGGCCACTATCTTAACAACGTAAGATATGCAGATGATACAGGGTTGAGAGCAGACACAGATAGAAAGCTACAAAACTCCTACAGAAGATAATGAAAACAAGAAGACATGACTAAACAACAAACTGCAACAAAACAGAATTCTTGGAAACTTGTCTTAATAAATCAACTCCGCAAAGCGGAAGAAGAAACTTGGAGCAACAGAAATGTGGTCCTGCAGAAGGATGCTGAGGATGCAATGAACCAAAAAAATGGAAACAAAAAGGAAACTTATACTTAACATCATAAAGAGACGGGTGGATTTTCTAGGGCACATAACGAGGACAGAGGGCTTTGAAAATTTAATGCTCACAGGACAGATTGAAAGTAAGATGGACAAAAGAAAACAACGCATAATATATTGAATGAGCTTGAGTGAATGGATGGCGGAACATTTAGAATAAATAAAAAAAGAGCTACAAACGATAAGAAATTGAGGAGAGACATTATCGCGTGCGTCATGCAGGAACACGACACATAAAGAATAAGGGATTTCGACCCTCACTTGGTTCGGATTTGTGCCACATCTAAGTTATGCTTAGATAATCATTAGGACACTTTGACGTGATGCAATAGTTAGCAAGCATGTCTCGTTAGATCAATTACGACTAAGTAGTGAGTTCGATCGCCATTAGGTGCCACATGGATTCGGCCATGTGCCACATCTATGCTCCGCTTAAATAATCTACTTTGTGAACTTCGACGTGGACTAATGGTTAGCAAGCTTGTATAGCTAGATCAATTAAGACTGAATTGTGAGTTCGATCCTCACTGGGTGCCCTATACATTCAGCCTTGTTACACATCTAAGCTATGATTAGAAAAAAACATTAGAGCACCTCCACGTGCTGTATTGGCTAGCAAGTTTGTCTCGGTAGATTAATTACCAAAGAATCGTGAGTTCGATCCTCACTGTGTGCCCCATGCATTCGGTCATGTGCTACATTTAAGCTATGCTTAGAAAATCATTAAGGCACGTGCTGGATTGGCTCGGAAGATTGTTTCGTTAGATTAATTACGACAGCATAGTGAATTTGATCCTCAATGGGCGCTCCGTACTTTCAACCTTGTGCCGCATCTAAACTATATATAGAAGAAGAAGAAGAAGAAATAATTGTCTATACCTATCATAGATCAGGGAAACTTGTTTATAGCCACCAGGGTTCATGACAGTCTAGTCTATAAATATATGAACAAAGCCAAATTAGGCTTTGTCGCTAAAATGTATTTGAAGGGATTCGAATCAAGTTCTGGGTCATATTTGTGACGAACAGAGTTAGGTTCTATTTCCTTGTTAGTCGTTTGAAATGCTCACTGGCTTTCCGCTTGAACGCTTTAAAACAGTTTGGCATAAATCCAAGCTCACCTGAAAATCGTGACATCTTAATCTCCCAGAGTTTCAGTGCTTTGCGTGCCAGCTCTTGAAATTCGAAGCCCGCGTTTTATATGGAGTAGAAGATTGGCAGTCACTACCGATGTGCACGCAGAAGCTCACTTGTATTAATCTTCCGTGAATATAAGTAACTCGTGCTCTTAAATAATAGAGGATGGTCACTATCATTGCGAGTGCTTCACTTGACAGTCATTCATTGCCAAATTATTTTCTCCATCTTTGAGCTAAGCTAGTTAGATACAAGGCCACCATAAAAAATAGAAGCAGCCAAATTATTTTCTACATCTTTGAATTAAGCTAGTTTGACACAAGGCCACAGAAAGAAGATGCAGTGCGAGAAATGAACAAACGAGTTACAGAAAATTTTTTTTGCTAAGCTAGTTTGATAAAAGGTCACGACAGAAGAGCGACAGTCAAATTATTTTCTACATTTTTTTTAAAGCTAGCTAGGAAAGCGGCGGCCATACAAAAATATACAAACAAA